ATGACTCCATGAGATTTCTCCATGAGATTTCTTGTCGTGGAAATAGCAACAGTGGCCTCCTTTTCTCTGCAGCCATCAAAAATGAAGGAAATGCATTTAATTGGATGGTACTTGCATCCAGAACATTAGCACCAAGAAACCAGGAGATGTAGGTTATTCTTATTTTTTATTGTTTTAGCTTTTCCGCCCCAGCAGTGCCCTAGAAGGTGGGAGGAATGGAGTTGAGGAAGCCAGTCCTCAATTTGTCTTTTTCTTCCCATGTATTTATTTATACAATCATTTGTTCGTATAAGTATGGACTCATGAGTATTCGTTTTGTGCTCTGGGTTATCCAGTACTAATTTATTTAATTGCTCAAATTATTTCAGCCTTGACCCTTGGAACCTCTTTGAGTTGGTTCCTGTGTCCTTTTGACATATGCCCCTCAATTTGGTTTCTGTTGTTTGAGGGGTGTGTGTGTGTGTGTGTGTGCGTGTGCTTCTGTGTTCTGACACTACAGGGTGTTCTAGGCTTATCTTGTATGTTCCCCAACTCAGCCCTAGAATGAGCCACTGTTTCAAGGACCTGTAGTTCTTTTGTTGGAGAACGGTACTAGGAACAAAGATTGATTTGGGCACTGATTGTCATTCTTTGACCGTTGATCTTTCTGTGGCCTTATGTTTAGATATATATCTTACAAATATCATATACCTAAATTAAAAAAATATGTAGTGTTACAATCTTGGACTTTCAATTATAGAATTTACATTCTTTGCTTGCTGTGATTGCTTATAATAGGACTCATTTTTGTAACACTTCAGATTTGTCCTGTTTCCGTGTTTGGTTTCACTTTTTGATTGATTTTTGTTTTGTTTCTCCTTCCCTGACTTTTTTTTTTTTTTTTGATTGATTGATTAACTTTGCTTATATTCCTTCTGTCTCATTCTGTTTTTCCCTCTACTTGTTTGAAAATTATATGCTCTCTGTATATATGTATACGTTTTTTTGAGAGAGAGAGAATGTGCAAGCAGAGAAGGGGCAGAGTGAAAGGGAGAGAGGGAATCCCAAGCAGCCTCCATGCCCACCGCAGCCCCGACATAGGGCTCGATCTTAGGACTGTGAGATCATGACATGAGCTGAAATCAGGAGTCAGACACTTAACTGACTGAGCCACCCAGGCGTCCCTGTATACTCTTTTAGTGGTTACTTCACGCTTTTTTTTTTAACCTGCATTTAACTCAACAAAATCTGAAGTTAATATACCTCATTCCCAGACAATACGAGGACTTCAAGATGCTCCAAATGTATGATTAGTACCTCTCATATTATAGTCTCTTGTTGACCTATATTTCATTTCTAGCATATTTTCCTCTCAAAAATCAAGCATTATATTATGATTGTGTTCATTCAATGTTTATTTAGCTTTGTCCAGGCATTTCCGAATATCTTTCCTCATTAGTCTTTCTGTGTCTTGCATTTTCTGTCTTCAGTCATTTTTCTTCTGAGTCACATCCTTTAGAATTTCACTTAGTGAGGATGTTTTGACATTAAACCTTGTCAGTTTTTGTTCTTCTAACCATGTCTTCATCTTGCTCTAATTACTAATGTTTCATGATTCACTCGGTGACTGGGCCATGAAGCGAAGGTTAAAAGGCAAATAGGGGGGCTCTGGGGTGGTGCAGTCGGTTGAGCGTCCGACTTCAGCTCAGGTCACGATCTCGCGGTCCGTGAGTTCGAGCCCCGCGTTGGGCTCTGGGGTGATGGCTCAGAGCCTGGAGCCTGCTTCCGATTCTGTGTCTCCCTCTGTCTCTGCCCCTCCCCCGTTCATGCTCTGTCTCTGTCTCAAAAATAAATAAAACGTTAAAAAAAAAAAAAGATTGCACATCGTGGTTGTCAAAGGGGTTAAAAAAAAAAAAAAAAAGGCAAATAGGTGCCACCCAGGGAAGAGACCAGTGCATGATTTGAGGTTGCTGAGAACAGACAACACATTTACAGCAAGAGAGGAAGAGAGAGTGCACAGTGTAGGGACACTCAGGCAATGTAGCTGCACCCGTCCTACTTTACATGGCAGTGGAAAGACCCCACACGCCACCCTGGGGTCTAAAAGACAGAAAGTGGGGAGCATGCCGAAGAGCCGTCGATGCTTTGCTTAAGTGTACATCAAGCCCAGAACAAGGAAAGATATTCTTCCACAAGACGACAAGCTCAGCGCAGGCTGTGAGCACTCTTTAGGACATGTTCTGGGCTCAAGGCCAATGTTATGCAGCCAAGCAGGGGATGAGGCATTGCTCATGGCTGCCTTTCCTTTCAGTTTCTTTTCAGCCGAAATCAGTTTTGCTGTGTATAGAATTCTAGATTGACAGCTTTGCCCCCACTCAGTACTTTGATATATTATTTCAGACTCACTTCGGCTTCCATTATTGTTGAACAGTTAAGTGGGAATTTACTTGTCATTCCCTTGAAGATGATCAGTTTTATTTCTCTAAGCTACTCTTAAGACTTTTTTCTCTTTGTCTTTGGAGTTCTGAAGTTTCACAGTCGAAGGGGCGATTTCTTTATTACTGTCCTATTAGGGACTCATTAGGCTTTCTTGATCTGAGGATTGGTGTCTTTCCCCACATCTGTTAATTCTCAGCCATTATCTTTTAGTGTATTGCTTCCACTCTTTTCTCTGTTGTCTCTTTCTGGTACTCTGATAAAATGTTTGTGAGTCATTTTTACTCTGTTCTCCGTGTATTTGAGACTTGGCTTCTTCTATATTCCATGTCTCATAAATCTCTCCTTTGTATTTTCCATGTCTTTGTTTTTATGGACTGCATTTTAAGTGATTTATTCAGATATCATTTCAAGTTGACTGATTTTCTCTTCAACTATAGGCTTCACCCATTGAGTTGTAATTTTCACTTATATATTTTTATTATTATTTTTAAAGTTTATTTATTTATTTATTTTGAGAGAGAGCAAGGGGGGAGGGCGCAGAGAGAAAGGGAAGGGAGGGAGAGAGAGGATCCCAAGCAGGCTCCGTGCTTAGTGCAGAGCCCGACTCAGGGCTCAAAGCAACGAACCACGAGATCATGACCTGAGTCCAAGTCAGACGCTTAACTGACTGTGCCAGCCCGGTGCCCCTTCACCTACTACATTTTTAATTTATAGAAGTGGTGTGGTTCTTTTTCAGATTTTCTTGGTCATTCTTTATAGCCTTCTCCCCTCCAACATGTATTTTTTTTCAAACACTCCCAGGCAACTCTTGAATTCTCAGCAGACACTGACTGGTGTCCTATACATTTAACTCAATTTTGACACTGTCTACCTAGAGAGTAGAGTCAGATACCATAGGTTAAGGGCTCAGTCCCACAAGACTGCCTCCCACTGTAGATACCAGTGGCAATTTATGTTATCACCTGTGCTTCTGACTGAGCAGCCATCAATCAGAGGTTCTCGCAACCCCTCCTTGGGTTTTGACTAATTTGCTAGAGTGGGTCATAGAATTCAGGAGACCAGTTTACTTATTAACCATTTATTACACGGGGTATTAAAGGGTGCAAATGAATAGTCAGATGAAGAGATACAATAAAGGGAAGTTTGAAAGGGTCCCAAACACAGACGCTTCTGTCCCATGGTTTTTGGAGTGCATCACCCTTCCAATACATGGATGGATTTTGGTTTGCCAACCTGGAAGCTCTCCAAATCTCTTACTCTTGGATTTTTATGGAGGCTTAATTACATAGACATGATTGATTACATAATTGGCCATTGGTGATTGAACTCCATCTCTAGCTTCTGTCCCCTCCCCAGAGGTCTAGGGGTGAGGCCAAAAGTTCCAACCCTCTGATTACCTGATTGGTTTCCCTGGCAACCATCTTTCATCCTTAGAGCCTTTCCAAAAGTCTCATTAGCATAAACTCATGTGTGGTTGGAAGGAAGTTGATATAAATAGCAAGACACCTTTATTACTCTTGACATTTAGGAAATTCCAAGAATCTTAGGAGCTCTGTGCCAGGAATAGGGATGAAGACCAAATATATATATATATTCCTTATTGTAAATCACAATATCACCCCCCCCACACACTATATTGTTTAAGTTTCTATTTTAGTTCTTTAAACACTCTATGGTTAATATTCTGTTTCTGAAAATTTGAATAGTTAAGGTCTGAGTGGGTTTGCTGACTGAATTTCTGCTTGTTTTCCATCAAGATGTCCTGTTTTCTTATGTTTCAACATTTTTCAAAAACTGTCACTTCCCTTGCTTTCATTTTCTGAATTAATAGGCTTCCCTCACTTTTTTTAAAACCAGTTTTGGATTTATACACAAATCAACTGGAAAGTACAGAGAGTTCCCAAATCATCCTTTACCCCCTGCCTGTTTCCCTTATTATTAACATCTTGCATTAGTGTGTTGTATTTGGTACAGTTAATGAGCCAATATTGATACATTACTATTAACTAAAGTCTATAGTTTCTTTAGGGTTCACTCCATGTGTATATTCTGTGAGTTTTGATGAATGTATAATGACGTGGATCCACCATTACATTATCATACAGAATAGTTGCACCGACCCCAAATTCCTTGTGCTCTATTTATTAATTCTACTCTCCTTCCCCAAGCCCTGGCAACTATTGATCCTTTCACTGCCTCCATAGTTATACCTTTTCCAGAATGTCATATATTTGTAATCCTATAGTATATAGCCTTTTCAGATTGGCTTCTTTCCCCTAGCAAAATGCATTTAAGTTTCTTCCATGTTCTTTCATGGCTTGATAGCTCATTTCTTTTTAGTCGTGAATAATATTCATTGTCCAGACGCATCACATTTTATTTATCCATTCACCTGCTGAAGGATATCTTGTTTGCTTTCAAGTTTTGGTGATTATGAATAAAGCTGTTATAAATAGCTGTATGCAGGTTTTTGTGTGGCATAAGTTTTCAACTCATTTGGGTAAACACCAGGGTGCACAATGGCTAGAGAGTGTGGTAAAAGCATGCTTAGATTTGTAAGAAACTTCTAAACTCTTTTCCAGAGTGGCTGTGCTGTTTTGCATTCCCACGGCAATGAATGAGAATTGCTGTTTGTATACAACCCTGCCAGTGTTTGGATTTTAGACATTCCAACGGGTATGTAATAGTATTTTCTGGTTTTAATTCGCCATTCTCTATTGTCATATAATGTTGAGCGTCTTTTCAAATGCTTATTTGCCATCTGTATATCTTCCTTGGTAAGATGTCTATTCAGATTTTGGCCATTTTTAAATTGGGTTGTCTTCTTATTGTTGAGTTTTAAGAGTTCTTTATGTATTTTGGAAATGTTCCTTTGTCATATACTTTCTCCTAGTGTGTGACTTCTCTTTTATTCTCATAACAATATCTCTTATTGAGCAGAAGTTTTAAATTTCAATGAAGTCCAATTTACCTGATTTTTCTTTCATGGATTATGTTTTTTGGTGCTGTATCTGAAAAGTCTCACCAAACCCAAGGTCACTTAGGCGTTGTTCCGTGTTATCTTCTAGGAGTTTTATACTCTTGTATTATGCCTTTAGGCCTATGATCCATGTTGAGTTGGTTTTTGTGAAAAGTGTAAGGTCTTTAAGATCCCTGTGTTGGCTGGTGGACGTCCCGCTGTTCCAGCACCATTGTTGAACAGACTTTTTTTTTTTTTTTAATTTTTTTTTTTCAACGTTTATTTATTTTTGGGACAGAGAGAGACAGAGCATGAACAGGCGAGGGGCAGAGAGAGAGGGAGACACAGAATCGGAAACAGGCTCCAGGCTCTGAGCCATCAGCCCAGAGCCCGACGCGGGGCTCGAACTCACGGACCGCGAGATCGTGACCTGGCTGAAGTCGGACGCTTAACCGACTGCGCCACCCAGGTGCCCCGAACAGACTGTCTTTTAAACATTGAATTATCTTTGCTCCTGTTTCAAAGTTTGGCTGACTATAATTGTCTGGATCTATTTCTGGGTTCTTTATTCTGTTTTATTGGCCTATTTGTCTATTCTTTCACCAAAACTGTGCTGTCTTGATTATGGTCACTTTACAGTAAAGCTTGAAGTCGGGTAGTATCAGTCCTCCAAATCCATTTTTTTCCTTCAATCTTCTGTTGGCTATTCTGGGTCTCAGTCTCTCCATATAAACTTTAGAATCAGCTTACCAATATTTGCAAAATAACTTGTTGGAATTTTTATTAGGATTGCATTGAATCTGGAAATCAAGTAGAGAAGAACTGGTATTTTGACAATATTGTTCTTATTCATGAACATTCTCTCCATTTATTTAAATCTTCCTTGATTTCTTTCATCAGAGTTTTATAAGTCTTATACATTTTTTTTGTTAGATTCATGCCTAAGTATTTCTTTTTGTTGTTGTTGTGGATATAAATGGTATTATGTTTTTAATATCAAATTCCAGTTGTTTATTTCTGGTATATAGAAAGCAATTGACCTTTATGTATTAACCTTGTAGACTGCAACCTTGCTGTAATTGCTAATTAGTTTCAGGAAATTTTGCTCAATTTGTTTAGATTTTCTATGTAGATAATCATTCTTGCCTTGTTCTTGTTCTCAGTGGGGAAGCTTCTAGTTTCTTACCATTGAGTATGATGTTAATTATCAATTTTCGTAGAACTTCTTAGTCAAGTTGAAGAAGTTTCCCTCTATTCTTAGTTTGCTCAGAGTTTTTATCATAAGTGGGCGTTGGATTTTGTCAGATGTTTTTCTGCATCTATTGATATGATCATGCGAATTTTTAGCCTGTTGCGGTAAATTCCATTCATTGGTTTTCTTTCCTTATTGCTTTGTTATTTTGATAGACTTTATTCAAAAATGTAAACACTCTAAAACAAACATTTCAGGTAGTGGCTGACACATCATTCAGTTATTTGCTCTGCTGAAATGCCTTCAACTCCCCCTCAAATAAAAATTGAATGAAATTCCCAGACAAGCTTGAGCACAAGCTGAGACACAGCACTTTATTTATTTATTTATTTATTTATTTATTTATTTATTTATTTTTAATGTTTATTTAGTTTTGAGAGAGAGAGAGAGAGAGAGAAAGAGCGTGAGCACAGGAGAGAGAGAGGGACACAGAATCCAAAGCAGGCTCCAGGCTCGGAGCTGTCAGCACAGAGCCTGAAGCGGGGCTCAAACTCGTGAACCGTGAGATCATGACCTGAGCCAAAGCCGGACGCTTAATTGACTGAGCCACCCAAGCACCCCAACACAGCACTTTAGAAATGTCCCGATTTCTAGAATTAAAAGAGACAACAAAAATCACCAAAATTAAAACTAGAAGAGTTAATTCAGGTTCCAGGGTCATATCTTTCTCTTTTCTCTTTTGAGTGTAGTTGATAACACAGTGTTACATTAGTTTCAAGTATATTACACAGTGGTTTGGCAGGTTTAACGATTATGCCGTGCTCGCCACAACTGTATCTATCATCTGTCACCATGTGGCGGTATTACAATATCATTGACTGTGTTCCTTATGTTGTACCTTTTATTCCAACGACTTACTCATTCCATAACTGCAAGTCTGTCTTTCCCACTCCCTTTCACCCATTTTGCCCATCCCCCTACCTTCCTCCCTCTGGCAACCATCAGTTAGTTTGTTTTCTGTATTTAAAGATCTGATTTGCTTTTCGTTTGTTTATTTGTTCATTTGATTTTTGATAGATTCCACTTATGGGTGAAATCATGTGGTATTTGTCTTTCTCAGTCTGATTCATATCACTTAGCATAGTACCCTCTAGGTCCATCCATGTTGTTGTCAATGGCCATGATCTCGTCATTTTGTATGGCTGAGTAATATCCCATTGTACATAGATGTCACGTCTTTATCCAATTGTCTGTGGACAGACACTGGCTTTGCTTCCACATCTTGGCTATTGTAAATAGTTCTGCAATTAACCTAGAGGTGCATATAACTTTTTAAATTAGTGTTTTTGGAATTTTTGGGTCAATACCCAGAAGTGGAATTATTGGATTATGTACTATTTCTATTTTTAACTTTTTGAGGAAACTCCATGCTGTTTTCCACAGCGGTTGCACCAATTTGCATTGCCACCAATGGCACATAAGTGTTCCTTTTCCTCCGTATCCTCGCCAACACTTGCTATTTCTTATGTTTTTGATTTTAGCCATTCTGACAGGTATAAGGTGATCTCTCATCGTGGTTTTAATTTGGATTTCCCTGATGATTAGTAGTTTTGAGAATCTTTATGTGTCTTTTGGCCATCTGTATGTCTTCTTTGGAAAAATGTCTATTCAGGTTCTGTGCTCATTTTTAAATCGGATTATTTCTTTTTTTTTTTTTTGGTGTTGATGTGTAGAAGTTATTTATATATTTTGGATATTAACCCTTATCAGATATAGCATTTACAAATATCTTCTCCCATTCAGTAGGTTGCCTTGTTGTTTTGTTGATGGCTTCCTTCACTGTGCAAAAGCTTTTTATTTTGATGTAGTCCTAATAGTTTATTTTTGCTTTTATTTCCCTTGCCTCATGAGACATATCTAGAAAAATGTTGCTGTAGCTGATGTCAGAGAAATTACTGCCTGTGCTCTCTTCTAGGATTTTTATGGTTTCAGGTCTGACGTTAGGTCTTAATCCATTTTGAGCTTATTTTTGTGTATGGTGTAAGAAAGTGATGTAGTTTCATTTTTCTACATGTAGCCACCCAGTTTTCCAGCACCACTTATTGGAGAGACTGTCTTTTCCCCACTGTATATTCTGGTCTCCTTTGTCATAGATTGATCGACCATATAAGTGTGGGTTTATTTCAGGGCTCTCTATTCTGTCCCATTGAATGTGTCTGTTTTGGTGCCAGTACCACACTATTTTGATTACTACAGCTTTGTAATGTATCTTGAAATCTGGGATTGTGATGCCTCCAGCTTTGTACTTCTTTCTCAAGATTGCTTTGGTTATTTGCAGTCTTTTGTGGTTCTGTACAAATTTCAAGGTTGTTTTAGCTTTGTGAAAAACGCTGTTGATATTTTGATAAGGATTACATTGAATCTGTAGATTGCTTTGGTTAATATGTACACTTTAATTATATTAATTCTTTCAATCCATGAGCATGGAATATCTTTCCATTTGTTTATGCTGTCTTCAATTTCTTTCACCAGTGTTCAGAGTACACGTCTTTCCCTTCCTTAGTTAAGTTTATTCATAGGTATTTTATTCTTTTTGGTACAATTGTAAGTCAGATTTTTTTTCTTAATTTCTCTTTCTAGTACTTTGTTACTAGTATAAAGACATACTGCCGATTTCTGCATATTAATTTTGTGTTCTGCATCTTAATGAATTCATGTATTACTCCGAGTAGTTTTTTGGTGGAGTCTCCAGGGTTGTCTAAATACAGTATCATGTCATCTACGAATTATGACATTTTTACACTTCTCAATTTGGGTGTCTTATAACCTTTTCTTGTCTGATTTCTGTGGGTAGGATTTTCAGTATTATGTTGAATAAAAATTGAGAGTGGACATGCTAGGCTTGTTCCTGATCTTAGGAGAAGACCTGTCAGTTTTTCACTAGTGAGTGTGATGTTCGCTGTGGGGGTTTTTCATATATGGCCTCTATTATGTTGAGGTATGTTCTCTCTGAACTCACTTCGCTTAGAGTTTTTATCATGAATGAATGTTGAACTTTGTTGAATGCTTTCTCTTTATCTATTGAGATGCTCATATGATTCATATGATTTTTATCCTTTGTTTTATTCATATTGATTGATTTGCAAATATTGAACCATTTTTGCATCACTGGAATAAATCCCACTGGATGGTGGTGAAAGTTCCTTTAATGTATTTTTGAATGCTGTTTGCTAATATTTTGTTGAGGATTTTTGCATTTATGTTCATATTGGCCTATAGTTTTCTTCTTCTTCCTCCTCCTCCTCCTCCCCTTCCTCCTCCCCCTCCCCCTCCTCTTCCTCCTCCTCCTCCTCTTCTTCTTCTTCTTCTTCTTCTTCTTCTTCTTCTTCTTCTTCTTCTTTTTCGTGGTATCTTTATCTGGTTTTGGTATCAGGAAAATGCTGGCCTCATAGGATATGTTTGGCAGCTTTCTTTACTCTTCTAATTTTTGGACTAGTTTGGGGAAAA